AATCTGCTGAATTTCGAAAGTTTCAGTAGTCGCACCCGATCCTTGCTAAATTTGCCGTGCTACTCCGACTCCTCCATCGGCACATGCTCTGCTTTCCATATCCAAACCATTGCAGTTTCAACTCTTCGTCATCTAACTCATCGGAAGCATTTTTTGTTGGGATTGTACTGCAATTGTCGCAAGCTTGGCTGGTCTGGACAATTTTATAAGCATTTCTGGTTTCCATGATGCACACGCTTTGCTTTGCTAGAAACAGGGCAATCCTTCTTGTTATTTTCTACCTTGGCGGGTGAAAACGTATTCTGAAAGCAACTCCTCGATCATACAATTTACCCTACTACTCTAGTCACATTTTTAGACCTATTATTCACCAGATTATTATTATGAATTATTTGATACATACTTTGTTAAAAAAAATACAGTTCCTTACAATTTTCCTTCTACTTATATTATGTTTGAACGGACTCGAGCTTATAAGATTCTTGTCCGGTAGTGATCATCAATTTGTTAAGAATGAAATGGGTGGATCTGTTTCACAAAATACGTAGTAGTAGAAATGATAGAGCTACTCCAACTCCATATTCGGTTGAGTGCTATCAAATATGTCCAAATTATGTAGACCGCTTGCTATAAATTATTTATTTGGTTTATAACATACAATATTTCGTTATTTTTCGTGAATATATTTATTTAGTATTATTCTTCCATGAGAAGGTAAAGTGTCTAATTGCATATTTTTATGACGTGTTTGTCGGATCTAGCCAATCATGTTCATATTAGATTCATCAACTATGGCTTTTCTCAAATTTTATTCCCTCAAGTATGAAATCACTCATTCACTATTGCTCTCCTACTCTCAAAACCATCAGCATTTCATCTTTCTATGCAAACTGGGATGGTTTTCGATAACATGGCATCTACATGGATGAATAGTGATGATATTAACATACTAACAAATAATAAACAACGAACAAAACAAAGTAAAGGCCAAAATAAAAAAATACTACAATCAGCACGTCAACCTTGATTTTTTTTCCCCTCTCTCATATTCTGACTAGGAAGGCACATGGTGTTTTATTTACGTAGAAACATCAAAAAAGGAAAGGGAGCACCTATTCTTATTTAAGAAGAAAATGACATGGTCTAGTTTTTACAGGAATACCTGACCCATAAACCTCACACATGCACAATTAGTTAGGGAAAATCGGCCAAATACCTACACGATGAACAAAAGAACACTTGCGGCGGCAGCACTAGAACACAAAACACAAGACATTGTAGGGTAGGATCTTCAAGACAAAGGCTCCAACGAAGAAGAGAGCATCCAGAACGCAGACAGCGTCCGTCCGAGCAATGGTACGTGGTGCTATGTCATTGTAATTAGTACTATCTCCGATGTTAATATTTGGTGTTTGGCACAAATCACAATTTGATAAAACTTATAAAATTCTAACCACCAATAATTCCCCACATGCTTAGTTAAGAAAAATGATATATGCATATTTGACTCGAAAAGTATGATGATAATATCGTAGACATTTTATAAACTTATTAAAAAATCTATTATATTATTAAAACAACTTTGAAAGGAGGCACCATATTCGCTGTGGAGACTAGAAATTACCACATTAATCGAAGAAAAATAGAAAACTCAACAGCGTTGGATCATGGTGGATATAGATTATAACGGTGGAGATTGATCGCACTAAAATCTAGATTTCGAATATGTTTTGGAGTCTGTATGACACAGTTTTAAAAGAAATAAAAGGTTAGTACTAATCTGATTCCATGCGTGGCTTGGGACTAATGAGAGTCCGATTTGACTTCAAGACCCCTCCGACTTGCTGCTTCCATAAAAACAAAAAACAAATGATCGATTCCTAGGCTGTAGAAACTATACCAGGTAATTATAAAAATGGTTTTCAATAATAATTCCAAATAAATTTAAAAAATCATGAAAATTCAGAATAAAGAAGGAGTACTATTTAGATATATCTAAAAATTGGAATTAAAAAACGAAAATAAAAGGTGAGTCCAACTAGAAATATAATTTAAAAATAAATAAAATTCAAAATTAAAAATAAGCACTATTCAAGGAAGAGTCCTTATAAGAACCCAATACGAGATTAATTAATATTCGAAAAAAAATAAAATCCAAAATTATTAAAAAAAGGAAAACAAGAGTTCGAGTAGAAATACAATTTAAAAATAACCAAAAATTTGGAATTAAAATTAAGCAATATTGAAATAATAGTTCATATAAAAACCCAATACGATATTATTAAGATTCGAAAAAAATTAAAAAAATTAGAAATTAGAAAAGGAAAAGAAAAAAGAGTTCAAATAGTAATACAATTTAAAATTAACTGAAATTCGGAATTAAATATAAGTAATATTGAAAAAAGAGTACGTATAAGAATCCAATAGTAGATTAATTAAATTTTCGAATAAAAAAATAAAATAAAATCTAAAATTAGACAAATTAAAAAATGAGTTCAAGTAGAAATACAAATTTGAAATAACTGAAATTAAAAATAAAAAATATTAAAAATATTAAAAGAACACAATACGATATCAGTTAAAATTCGAAACAAAAGATAAAATAAATTCTGAAATTTTAAAAAGAAAGATAAGATTTCAACTAGAATACAATTTATAAATAACTAAAATTGGTGATAAAAAATAAAGACTATTGAAAGAAAAAGACCATCTAAAACACATGACGAGATTAATTAAGTAATAGGCCTATAAAAGCGTAGAGTGGTGGCGGTTGATGGGACATCTAAGAACTATTAATAAATCACCAAATAGAATCCTAATGACAATTAAAAGAAAGGATGACGGGCAGGTCATGAAGCAACCGGTCAAGGCGGTTGGCGGGACTTCTAGAAAGTAAAAATAAAAAAAATAAACCCTAATGATAATCATATTTGATTTTTAAAATCTGAATGACAATAAAAATGAGAGACAGCGGGTGGGTCGTACAGGAGTACAATGGCAGAGCCGCCAATGGTTGATGGGACTTCTAGAAAGTAAAAAATGAATTCAAATGATTTTAAATCCCAATAACTTGGCGGCAGGCGGGTTGTAGAGGAGTATAGTGGCAATGTTTGATGGGATTTCTAAAAATTATAAAAAACTGAAACCCAAAGACAATAAGTTCTACAAACTATAAGGTCCAATTTTTAAGGTTTGTGCTTCTAAAAGTAAAAAAAAAAAACCCAATGATTATCATGTTTGATTTTAAAATCTCAATGACAATAAAGAAGGGCTGCAGCGGGCGAGCCATAGAGGAGTACAATGATAAAGTCGCTGACGTTTTGGCAGAACTTTTATAAAGTAAAAAATGAACCTAAACAATAATTATGTTCGATTTTTAAAATACCAATGATAATAAAAAGAAGAGCCAGTGGACGGCCATAGAGGAGTATAATGGCAACGTTTGACAGGACTTCTATAAAGTGGAGTAAATGATAAAGATGAAGCCTAACCGGACAATAAACTCTAAAAATTTTTAGATTCATTTTTTAAAGGTTACAAGGAGAATGAATAGAAACTAGATCGAGGAAGCAAATAAAGAAGGATATGACAGAAATAAGGGGTAGCAATTGGTGTGACTTTTAAAATATAAAATTAGAAAGATGAGGATGATAAGGTCTGGTCTTTCAAAATCTTAAGACAACGAGATAACTATTTAATAAATTTTAAGTAAAATCATATTAAAAAAATATAATTTTATATGGGTGCGCAGGCCATCCAGCTAGTTATGTTTGAAACTTTAAAAGTTTTACCAAATCATCCTAAATGTAAAATATTATTATCTGAGAGATTATTAGTAGATCCATAACTAAAGGTTTATTTCATCACTCGATTCATAAGCAGTCAATAATCCACTTCGGCACCCCTTTTTTTTTTCCTATAGTACAATAATTAATGCATCCACACGTCCAAACAGAGTTTAGAAGAGACAAATATTACATACCGTGTTTAGTTCCTTTTCAAAAAAAATTTTAAGTATACGGACACACATTTAAAGTATTAAATATAGACTAGTAACAAAACGAATTACAGATTTTGCCTCTAAACTGTGAGATGAATCTATTAAGCCTAATTAATCCATCATTAGTAAATGTTTACTGTAGCACCATATTGTCAAATCATGGCGTAATTAGGCTAAAAAAATTCGTCTCGCAATTTATATGCAAAATGTGCAATTGATTTTTTTTCCATATTTAATCCTTTATGTATGTGTCCAAATATTTGATATGACGGAATTTTTGAAAGTTTGAAGAGAACTAATACAGCCATACTCCAAAAGTCTTGCCGATCCGCTGTGCACCTTATGAATGGTTTATACGCATCACTGGATATCTTTCACATCACTTTAAGCATATAAAAAGTCATAAGTTCTACAAGTATGCTAGCTTTCCCTCCACGTATGCTAGCTTTCCGAACTGCTATATGGTACTAGTTTTTTTTTTAAAAAAAAAGTTGCTTTAAAAATTATATCGATCTATTTTTTAAAAAATAATTAGCTAATATTTCATAAATTATTCGTGAATCCACGGCTCCATTTAACTTGTCAACCCTAAGCCCAAAGACCATAACCATCCAACCCAAACGTACGGCTTAATGGACCAATTATTTTTTTGTAATAAAAGATTAGGAAGATCCTCCATGACCAAAGCCATCACCAAGATGGTTCGCATAACCATTAGTCCATTACTATTGCTTCCATTGATATTGCCGTCAGTGCCCATGCCACGATCTTATTATGAACCAGCGCCAATGTTCTAAGAACGTAGTAGTATAAACAAAAGATAATAAAGTTATTTCAACAATTTTTGAAATCCTTTAGTACAAATATAAATGAATTTATATTCCTGCCCTCCCCGAAGAAATTTGACAACGACCAGAACCAGGTTTTGACCTCTAAGTTATTGCCGAAATCACATACGCGGACATATTTACCAACCTACACCTAGCACCACTCCAGTGGTGAAACCTGTTGTTAAATACTCCGTCAGTATGCAAAATGTTTGTGTGCTAGTTGTTCTCGTCTCCTTGCAGAGGCGGAACACCCAACAGACGCAGCTCTCTAATGGAACAGAAGGTGAGAATCAGCTCGTAATTCTCAACTCACATTATTAATGTTTCAGATTTCTTCTCTCATTTTCCTTACTACTGATAATTAGCATTCTTGTTCTAGTTGATGATCAAATTGTTGTACTAACTTGGAGTGATCAATTCACGCAGGAGTCCTCGCTGATCATCACGGTTGATCTCTGTTGCTGCCGCTCCCTCACAAAGATACGGAAAACCCTGTGCAAGTTGCAAGGTAATCAGATCATACCATACTCCAACTCCATTCTAGTTGCACAAAGTGTATCTTTCGATCTTTCATTTCACCTGCCAAACATCGATCATATTCTCATGGATATTGATTTACTATTCTGGAAAAGTATGAAAAGTATAAATACATGCTATCAAAGTATCATATTTGCTTCAGTCTTGCAATTGAAGTTGCATGTTACTAGCTTGTCTTCTTGGCACAACGCATTTGCAGAGAGTGAGGACATCAGGGCGATCATGTACGACGACAAGGCCGGGACGGTGGCGATCTCCGGTGGTTTCGACCCACTCGTGCTCCCCTGCAAGCTTCGCCGCAAGGCCGGTAGCGTGATCAAGGACATCCACCTCAAGAAGGAGAGAGAGAAGAACAGGGTGCCGCCACCGCCGCCGCCACCACCACCTCAGCCGGCGCCCGCAGCCAGGGCGGCGTTCGGCACCATATGTGGCGCCGGGGTGGCGCCGGGGCGCGCCTGCCTCTGTCTCGGTCAGTGCCGCTGTCACTGCGGGGGAGGCTACGGCTGCCGCTGCTGCGGCGCGGCACCGCCGTGCTACTGCGTGCCGATCGGAGGAGGAGGCTGCTCCGTCGTCCAGTTCACCTATGATGAACCATCTCCTGCTTGCAGTATCATGTGATGGATGACGCCCGGGTGATCTCGTAATTCCATCATAAATTTGGGAGAAGACAATACTAATTAAAGAAATAAGATATACCTTTAGTAGAAGCTTTAATTTACATGTAAGTACAATATAATGGCGAGTACAAATTTCATGTAATTTGCATTTCTGCACTACACTGTTATATGCCTTTCCCATAAAAAAAAGAAGAATATCATTGTAGAGTTGGACCAGTGATATCATCCATATATGAATTTTCACTTGAAAGTACAAATCAGATTATTGATATGCACATTTGTACTATTAACTTGTGGAAGTAATTGATTAATTTTGTAAACAGTTACTTCTGGAAAGGCGAGCTGTTTTGGAACCTCTGTACATATTAGGAAGCAGTTTCACTCTTTTGTTTGCTAGTATGGTTTCCGGTTCATTTCACTGTCATTTACCTGGTTTTGATGATTATGCTCCTCTTATGCAATGATAAATTTGCAGTACATGTGTTTAATCTGGCAGTGAGATCACTAATAAAAGAACGCACACAACTCTAGATGTTTTTTTCCGGGGGAATTTTTAGAGTACCTATGGATGAATATGGGCCATCCATTCATCTTGATCCAACGGATCAAATTAATTTATACTACACCATGTTGTATGGACAGTAGAATCCGCACGGGGGTAGATTTGGAAGAAAATGCGCCTGGCAGTTACTTCCTCCGTTTCATATTACAAGACAACATTACCCACATTCATATATATGTTAATGAATCTTAGACATATATCTATCTAAATTCATTAATATCAATATAAATGTGGAAAATACTAGAATGACTTACATTGTGAAACGGACAATGCTAAAAGTCTTATATTAAGATTGAGTACATAAATTCACGAGCTTTCTACCGTCTCTAACCAACTGAATTTTGGCAGACATCTCCTTTTTTTCGTGTTTTAAGGATATGCAGTTAATATGATCAATTTTATCTGCACGTGTATGAGTAATTGAAAATTAATCAAACACACGATACAAGATCGACAAGGCTGCTCGTTTCTTCTTGATGCATGAAAACATTGGCATTAATTTGGCATCGAGGAGGGGCACGAGGCAATTACCGCCTAACGGTGATGAGCCGGCTAGCGGCAGCGGCACGCCTGACTCGCGACTCCGATCGAGCAGCGAGAGGAAGAGGCACACTGCCGCGCTAAACGAACACTAGTTTAGAAAGGAAAGTCAAAATTAACGCTTGAGCAAAAGTTCTAAAATACCCATATAAATCGACGATCAGATTTCATCCTACTACACTATTACCCCTCGCAGTAAAGGGTACTGTATTTTTTGGAGGAACAAGGGTGGATATTTTGAAGCCTATATCAAGGGATATTAACAACTTCAAGAGATGAAGTTGAGTATATCTTATCAGTTTTTAACATGTCAAGCACAATATTTTTTATGGGAGTAGCTATATTTATAACGCCATATTTTTCACCAAAAAATAGTTGGCATGTATTTATATTGTAAGTCGAATTACATATGTAATTTTAGTGTATTTACAATGTAAGTCCCAAAATTACATATGTAAGTCTTAAAAATTACACGTGTAAATCACAAAATTGCATATTAATTATATATATAAGTGGTGTGTAAGTAGTATGTAAGTTTAGTTTCAATTTAGAAACGGCAGCTTGCTCGTGCGGTGGACGCGTGATGTTTATGACAAGGAGGTCCTGAGCTCGATTCCTTGTGCTTGCATGAGGTTTGGTTTTGTTCCTCCCATACCCTAGCACGAATCTCAACACCGATCTGATGGATAAAAAAATCGACAGATTTGTAGAGAAAAAATTGTCGCCACATTTTTAGCTTTTCCGAAAATAATATCTTCCTATATTTTTATCCAAACTGAACAATAGACCATAATATTTCCATTTCATCTTTCCTAGGGACAACATATGTTTCTTAAAGATGAACTAACATTCATTTACACAAATCGCATGTATTATAAGTCGGAGTTCCCATCTATGCATAAGATCTTCTCTATCGGAATTTCCATTCCCTAATCAACTCTTGCAACCATAAAAGCAACAGATTTTGCCAGGATATCATCAAAGTTAGCCACTCCCTCTTGATTCTTAACCTGAAAATTAGTAAGTGTCGGGAGATCAACAAATCAACTCTTGCAACCATAAAAGCAACAGATTTTGCCTGGATATCATCAAAGTTAGCCACTTCCTCTTGATTCTTAACCTGAAAATTAGTAAGTGTCGGGAGATCAACAATAACTCTTGGAAGGTTAACATTCTTCCTCTCACCATATTATTATGCATTAGAGGCATCTTAATTAGCAGTACATCCATTGCTTGCATTGATCAGGGGAAATATGCTGTGATCTCTGCAGACCGAGAAACCGTTTGTTCAAATGCAAAGAAACATCTAGGTAGTCGTTCAAACCAAACAGTAAAACTGTCAAAGTGACAAGGAGGTCCTGAGCTCGATTCCTTGTGCTTGCATGAGGTTTGGTTTTGTTCCTCCCATACCCTAGCACGAATCTCAACACCGATCTGATGGATAAAAAAATCGACAGATTTGTAGAGAAAAAATTGTCGCCACATTTTTAGCTTTTCCGAAAATAATATCTTACTATATTTTTATCCAAACTGAACTGTAGACCACAATATTTCCATTTCATCTTTCCTAGGGACAACATATGTTTCTTAAAGATGAACTAACATTCATTTACACAAATCGCATGTATTATAAGTCGGAGTTCCCATCTATGCATAAGATCTTCTCTATCGGAATTTCCATTCCCTAATCAACTCTTGCAACCATAAAAGCAACAGATTTTGCCAGGATATCATCAAAGTTAGCCACTCCCTCTTGATTCTTAACCTGAAAATTAGTAAGTGTCGGGAGATCAACAAATCAACTCTTGCAACCATAAAAGCAACAGATTTTGCCTGGATATCATCAAAGTTAGCCACTTCCTCTTGATTCTTAACCTGAAAATTAGTAAGTGTCGGGAGATCAACAATAACTCCTGGAAGGTTAACATTCTTCCTCTCACCATATTATTATGCATTAGAGGCATATTAATTAGCAGTACATCCATTGCTTGCATTGATCAGGGGAAATATGCTGTGATCTCTGCAGATCGAGAAACCGTTTGTTCAAATGCAAAGAAACATCTAGGTAGTCGTTCAAACCAAACAGTAAAACTGTCAAAGTGACATCTGCAGCAATTTCACTTTGCTCTCTTGACACTAGCAAAAATAACTAAAAGAAATGAGCAGCTCTGCCTTGGTGCTAACTTAAGTATCACACTATAGGAAAGCTTACTCTGAGGCCTCCAGTTCCATGAACAACAGGCACTATACCATATTGCATAGCATATAGCTGATTGAGGCCACAAGGTTCGAATCTGGATGACATCAACAATATATCACAACTGTACAAAAAGAGAAGCATCCAGATTTCAAATGTAACTTTATCAGCAAAATTCATTGAGATTTCAAATGCAAATGCATCCTTAGCTGACAAATGAGCTATTATTGGCGAAGTTATATTCCATACCATGCAGTTATTCGGTGGGAAACTAGAACAGTAAATCCAACCCATCCACGAAATTTATCCTTGTACTCTGATTCTATGGATCTCATCCATCCTTCAAAACCTGGGTCACCAAAACAAGCATGACCTATAACAAATAAAAACAAAAAGTGTCATATTTTGTTTAAAAGAAAATGTATTACAAGGTGTCATTGATCAATCGATTTCAGTTGTTGGCTAATATATGTGGAATTTTTTTAAAAAACCCACTACAAGTACTACTCTGTTTTAGTCTCCAGTTGAAAGCCAGAAACCTCCAGTTGAGATGGCAATCTTTATACACATGCTACTATACTGCACCTCTGGAAACACCCATTCTAATGATCCATACCATTCAGGTGACATTCCTAGGTTAGGATATGTACTGGCAGGCTCCACACCTATCACAATGAAGCACAATGAAATACTAACATACTGCACTTACAAAGTGCCATTACAAAACTATAAACATCATATGGACTATATTTTGCAGCAAGAAGGCTGGATAAACAACATAAAAGTTATATATAAATTGATATGTAAGGAAAACCAATTTAACATTCACCATTGAAGAAAAAGGGGACTAAAAAATTGGAGTGATTAATTTTTCACTGGCATTAGCATCTTATCCACCATTAGGAACATGCCAAAAGAAAGGAGTAGAAATGTAGCATCTGATGGATCAAACCATATCCAAGCATGACCTATAACAAATAAAAACAAAAGGTGTCATATCCCCAATTCAAGTATTAATGGGGCTTCACATGCCGCGTAGCACAGGAGTGTGTCTCTGAACTGCAGTATTTTCATAGTTATGTACTAGTAGTGAGCAAATCCCAAAAAAAAGTATTGGGGGAGGTTAAAAACCTCTTGTTTGCACACTACAAATAATAGCTATTGTTGCCATTAAACCAATAAAAAACAATGCCATTAATACAAAAATTATAAAGTTTGTGAGCCACATTTACCTTATTAGTTATTTGCATTCAATGTCTCACGGAATGGCCTTTGTCTCTTCGATGGAGCTTCTTTTGCCCTAATCTCATCAGGATCAAGGACTCTCTTCTCTAATGGCTGGTTACTAGACAAAAAGTGAGTTGGCATAGGACCAAAATCTGCGGCCACGATGTTCTCATGGGATGCCGATCCTTTATCCAAAACCCCGTTTAAGAAATCCATCACATTTTTTGTCTGCTCTAGTTTCCTAGCAGCCTCAAAGAAAGCATCACTACCCATATTTCGAAGGCTGCGATAACGAACCATGTGTTCAGACCACACATTAGGATCGTTATTCTTGTCTGACCTAAATGCCGCCGTTGCTCCCATTGTCCACCTATCTACGACACAACAACGAGGGATGATGTCAAAACCAAGGAACTTGAGTACAACAAAAATGTGTGAGCAGGGGATGTCTTCGCAATCCATCTTCAGAAAGTGACATTTCACACCTGGCAACGCCTGGCCTTTAAAAGTAACCCTCACTTCATCCCACACCTCATTATCTTCCTTCAAACCAACAACATACAGTGTCGAACCATCTTGATTAGTCCCACTGATGAATTCAAGTCCAACAATTAGCCGTATCCATGCACGGATTTTCTTCAACATAACTGCTGTGTATATATGGGTAGCGTCTTTCTCCAATGGGTCGGCATCTATTCTACAAAGAAGGACCGAAAGGGTACACTTAGCGTCCAACTAAGCATCC